CCACTGCACTCCAGTCTGGGTGACAGAGTGAGACTCCAACTCAAAAAAAAAAAAAAAGCTGAAAGTCACTCTTAGGAAAGGCCTCCAAGGTAGTATTTTACTCTAATTTGTTTACACTCCTAACTTTATAAACTGCTAATTCCCTTTGGCTTAATATTAATTCCACAGTCTTATCTATGCATTCCCCGGCATAGGAATTTTTCAGGCTCTGGTTCCATAGTGGCTCAGGGCTCAGGTAAGGAGAAGAATCTGGGTAAGAACTGGCTGCAGAGAAAAGGACACCATGGTTCTCCTACACGCAGAAATAACATTTAAGTATCCACCAATAATCCTTAGCACAAATGCATCCTGCTTATTTACATGATACCTTTTCAGCTGGAAGGATGTGCTGTTCCATGAAATGCTTCACCTTGATGAGAACTTCCTGGCCTTTCCTAGTCTGTGCAAACATCCGTCCAGCAGTGTCAATCTGTGGGAGTGCAGTGCTGAAAGTTCTTTAACAAAAGGAAAATAAAAAGGATGTACAAATTCACTGTTACATATTTCTGAATATAATGTGACGTGTCCCCAGCCCCCCAAAAAATATCACTCAGAGGGAGTTGTCATACTTTGATTTTTTAGAAAAGTCTTTCACATTATGGGCTGAATGCAGAATCATTTTATTTGAACATTAAACTTTAATGCTTAAAGCCCTGTTAGGAACAAACATAAGCTTGGCATCACCTCAAGCAATGCTAGTTTTGAATCTTTATGGAAATTGCTGTCAGGATCTCTAAACAAGGAGGCAAGGAAACTGAACACAAATTTAATCATTATTCTCAGTATATGCCTCACAAATCAACTGCTGAATGTCCTCATAAAGAAGACATATAAAGGTCATTATGAAACACAACAGAGTCAGTTTGCTACGTTGTAGAGAAAACATCCATCTATAAAATGAATTGTAAAAAACAACTGTCCTAACATTTTGCTGTTTCTCAAGACAGCATCAAATATGCATTCAGTAAGTAATAGGAATGTGACTGGCAAAGTTTGTCAGGTGTAAAAGTGCTCCACTGATGGAGACAAGGATTTCAAAGATGCTTATGAAATGTCTGAATAAAATTCCATGAGATGTAACAATGGAAGAGAACAATACTTCTAAATTAATAAATTGTCTTATATAATACATAATTTTCAGTAGGTATGTGTAACTTAAATATTATAGAAAGCATTTGAAAGTTTTTTTTCTATATCCTTACAAGTTTACCCATTCCAGTGGCAAAAAAATACTTTTAACCACAAATATGGGAACTTTCTTTATATTTTAAGTCAACTTGTTTTTATGCATTTAAGAGACTTACCAAAACAAAACAAAACAACAAAACACAAACTATTGCAATTGGTAGTAGCAATTATGGTGTGTGCAATAAAAATAATTCCTAAACCTTCACATACCTAATAAAGGCTCTAATTCGAGTTAGGCAAGGAATCTGTTTTCTTTACCTTTTTGAGAGTTGTAATCCAGTTTCTGCCAGCGGTTGCACAATATTGGCAAACAAAAAGCTATTCTCGGATGAATTATTTCCCAGAAGATATCTACTGTATACTCCCTATAAAGAAATGCACACAGAGTAATTAAAATTCATTGAAAACTGTCCTTCAACTATCCAATCAGTCTTTCCATAGTTTCTCAGTTATGTCAAACTCACAGGGTATAAAGATGTAAACCAGACTATCAATGCTACTAACTATACCTCTCTAAATTGAAGAGTCATGCTTGTATTATTTAGTTACCACACTCATCCTAGCAGCATTGTGGCTTATAATCAAATCAAACTTGAAAATGATTTCAACAGTTATCAAAGATACCAAATCTGCAAGTTTTATCACCTCTAAAGATTACTGTCCTTCCTTCATAGGGGAGAAAATCTAAAGAAACCAAAATAGGATTAAAAAAAAAAAAAACCAAAGAGAAGACAATGAGATGATCTCTAAGAATATTTTATCTCATTTTGGGCCCCTAATTTAGGTAAAACTGTCTCTTTTGAATAATTTTAGTTGAATGTTAATCAGCGTTTCTTCTATAATTCTCCATTTCTGTACTTGCAATATAATAAACTCTCTCCTCTCCCCCAAACACAAACAACTGAATTCTATTACTATATCTTCTTTATATAATTTTTATGTAATAACATACTGTAATAGTTTTTCCACCATTTCCAATTTCATAATTTCAGTTAGAATGCTTATAATAATCCCCAAGGCTACATGTACAATACTCTGTACATAGAATTCATTATGTACATTTTCATTTCACTTATAACCTATTTCACACTTTTATTTGAAATGAAAAGCTATTTTAAATTTGAAGCCTGTGAAATCTGAATTGTGAAAACAGATATTGAGACATACCCAATTTTGAGAAACCTATCCATTCAACATTACCAACTTTAGGATATGGGATGAGAAGTAACAACTATTTCCTAGAAATTTCAGTTCATGGAAGCATGAACTCTGAGTACAGAAAAAAAAAATAACCATGGTTTTCCTTAATCCTTCTTTTCCCATTCTTTATTTCTAAAATGTTGTATTTACCAGTTCTGCCTCCCTAGCCCCTTGTCACTTATGAAGCATCTCAATTTCATCTCATCTCAAATCCCCAAGATTCAAAGTGCTTGGAAACTAGATTAGTATAAAGAAGAAGGCATTTGTTTAAGATTACAATGTAATTGGAATAAAAAACAAGTTTATGCTCAATTTACTCTCAAAATTAACCACTAGAAAAATGACCACTGGAAATTGAAAAATTTTAGTAATCAACTTGCTCAAAAACATACTAAGTGGCTACTATACACTATATTGTGCTAGCCTCTGAAAAATACAAGGGTAATTCTCTCCTCTTCATCAGTCTGGTTAATAATGGTTTTATATTCTGAAGCAGAAACATCAAAAGATTTTAGTTTTTACTTTCATCGGATATTTAGGTAATGACTAAATCCTTACATGCTTTTCTCTCTTTGTCACTATGTCTTTCTCTCTCCCTCCTTCCATCTTGTAAGTTTATTATACAAAGTGACAACATATGTTGCTACTAGAATATTTACCGTGACAGATTCCTATTCTGTAAACTGTGTATTTATATTTTGCTCATGTTTGATACTTGTTATGAAAGGCAAAATGACCTACGAATAAAGAATACAGAACCCCTGAAGACTAGAAAATATTGTTGACTGTGCATTAGTAAATAGTGGTGAAACACACATTCAAAACAATTACCTGTGCTATTCCAGCCATTTTAAAATATGAAAGGGCCAGAAAAAAATTCCAGTTAGGAAGACAAGAATTAATTCCCCTACAGCGGCAATATATTGAAATGAGTTCTTCCATCAATGGTATCCCTATGAAAACAACATATAACATAAACGTTAATAAAATATTATGGTGAATATTTCAAAATCTCATAATATGGCATATATATGTAAAACAGAATGCAATAACCATTAATCCACACAACAAAACATGTTCTAAATCTTGATTCTCAAAAGTTCAGTATATGTAAAGAATTTTTGTCATACATTACTAAAAGTGAAATGCTAAGTTCAGAAAACTAATATAAAAATAAAATGAACTGGAAACATTTCCAAGAAATAAATAAAAACTAGTATCTAAAATTGCAATGTAATCATTTTAGATTATGAAGGTAATAAAAACAATTGTCCATTAATAACAGTTTAGATAACAGTATGTTTTTGTACCTGTGTTTCCTTGAATATAAGAATGCTGACTTATCATTGGAACTGTCTTTGGCCAAAAGTAGAACAGGGAAAGATGTGCTAAGTCTGACAAAGGATGACCAATGGTTGAAAGCTCCCAATCCAGTACTGCTAGAACGCGAGACTACAATTACAAATAAAGAGGCCTTTAACGTATTAATTTTAAATTATAAAATTTAAAACAAGTATGATAAAGACATAAAAATAATTTTTTAAAAAAGAAATAAACAAAATGGAATATATTCACAATCATGCCTTCTATCAAAAGTCAGTCTCAGGCCATAGTTGGTAGTCTTTACCCACAGCAGCACATCTTATTTATGAAGCAACCATTTGCTTTGACTGTGTAGAGCCAAGTCCTCTGGTTCCATCAATGGCCATCAATCCTTCTGCATTTAAATGTACACAGCCTTAATATCTCTACTAATGAGCAGAGGCAAAAGCAATTAAAACATCTCAACTGGGAGTAATTATAGTAAAGAAGAAATTCTTATAATTACTTGTATTTCTACTGAAATACACTATGCCATGTGTAATTAAGCATTTGCCTTAGTGATTAACTGCATAATATTACACTGTTACATCAGTAGTACTTTGAAAGTAAATTATTTCATGCTGTAGATAAACATACATAATTGTTATGGAAGATACTGCTTATAAAAACAAAATCCGCCACTATATAGCAGCATGATAAAACAATCATTATGCGATTTAGAACCAATAAAACAAAAAACTTGTCTTTCCACTTTGTAACACATGTATCAAGGGGATATATATCTCTATGTTAAGAACACAGGACGTTCAACTGCAAATTGAATGTCTACAAAGAAAAAGGCAATTTGCAGAATAATATGTATAGTACTGATTTTTGTTAAAAGAAAAAAGTTATAAATGAGTACTCAAAGCTGAAAGGATATGCAATAAACTGAGAGCAACGGCTGTTGTCACTTCAAGAGACTGAGACAGGAGGGATATGGGACAGGGAGGGAGGATTCTCTATGGAGTAACATGATAGGATGGGTGTTTTAAGAGGGTCACTCTGGCAGCTATGTTTTGAATAGACTGTAGGAGGCAGTGATAAGACTGCAGCAATAATCTAGGCAATTTATCCAGGCCAGATAAAACAGCAGAATCCGTTTGGGCGAGGCGAGTTACTGAGTTTTTCATGCCTCCATATAACTTTGTACATGCCTACTCCCTTGCTGCTCTAACAAATGTATACATGTTATGGTAGCTTCATGGGAAAATGTGGGCTTTAAAATGAGATAGACATATATAAAATTCTAGCTCTACCATTTACTGACTGTGCAACTCTGGACAAGTTAGTTAACCTCTCCAGTTCTCAATTTTCTCAGTCATAAAACATACCTCTTACACAGGATTTGTGTGAAGATTAAATAAAGGCAGACAGTGTGCATATTTTGTTTGTCAGTTCCTAGTAAAATACCTGGCACATAGTAAGTGGCCAATATGTATTTATTCTATTAATAGGTACAGAGCCTGGTAAGGCAGGCAATAAAAAATTTGCTATTATTACTGTGGGAAAAATTAGCCAACTTCTTCTCCATGGCTTGACTTTATGAGATCTTCTATTGTTGTGGTTATATTATAAATGATTATACTAGCTAGATTTGTCAAACTATAGGAAAAAAGGATTGATGTATTTTTCTTTTATACCATTCTATTTGTTATCTATTTTCTTCACACCCAAAGAAGATAAGACATTTCTTTATGCTAGAATTACTTTTTTAAAATAAAAATTGGGAAAGTTCTCTGGAATCAAGTTTCAGAATATTTAAAACATTTTTGTGGGTCATTACACAAAGCTATAAAACAATAACCAGTGAGAAAAAAATTGATGGCTCATCAAATTGCATAAATTAGTGCACATTAATTAGCAATAGGTTATTAGAATTCCATCTGTACATGTTTATGTTCAGAGCTATAAAAAGCTTATTAATAAAATGATTTCTGACAGTTTTTCTAAAATCTCAAAACAACAGAAAGCTTTTAGTTTTGTTGATTGTCTTCTACAGAGATTTATTTTTCTATGCATGCTTTTTACACTATTGAATTTTATTAATATGTATTTATATTACCATTTTAAAAACACATGCAATTCAACAGGACAAATAGTAGGTGAAAGAAGAAAAGAATACAATTTTTAACAAAAAATGAAGCTAGGAGTAAGGTTATTACATAAAATTGAATGTTGCAGGACATATATAATTGTTAGTATGGATAGTAAAATTTGCTCTAAGCTTTCTAGCAAATAAAACCAAGTATGAAGGAAGCATGGTCAGTCACAATATTTACAGTGTATGTATATTAAAAACAAACCAGTTGCTCAAAAGGGACAACTTTTCTTGGCAATGAAGCTTAAGAAAAACACGACCCATCAATCTGCAGGAAGAAGATATTGTGTAGAGGGCCAAAATGTTGTCAGCAATATCAAAAGAACTTAAAGAGACATGTAATCCCTAGAAAGCAGCCTGTGCTGGAAAGTGACTAATGGACAAAAAGGAAGACAAGACCATGTGCTGAGAGAGGGAGTCTAGATGAAGAACCTGGAGAAACTTGAGAATCTGAGAAGAATGAAAGACACTTGAAAAGGCCGTTTTTAAAAAAGCCATAGGTTTCTATTAAGACATGAAGTTACAGCCTAGATAAAATCCGGTGGCATAAATATGTCCCAAACCCAGTTAACCTGATTTCATGACTTTATTCTGTAACAAAAATATGATGACCTAAGTTGAGGGTTAAAAACTGTTTAAAGTCAAGGGGTGAGAAGATTCTAGAATAATAAGCAACCTAAGGCTAGGAAACTTTATAATACTTATATTCTTGTACACATCCACAGTTTTAAAGTGCTTAATTGAATTGATACTAAAGAAGGTAGTTTTTAAAGTGGCTGATTATGACCATACGGCCCATGCAATATAGGAAGTCAGATACAGTCATGAAGGGCCCATAGATTCTAAAGTAAGAGCAATCAGATGTGCAGCATCTCAGGGAAGGCAAGACGGTAAACAGGGCATGGACTAAGACAAGCAGTTTCAATTTCTAGATCACTGAAGTCGACAAGTTCTAGTGTCTGTTTCTAATATTTACATATTTCAAGTTGAAATAACAATATGCAGGTTTTACATTAAACTCCAAAATTTGTATACCAGTACAATTTACATTTGGAAAATCGGCATTTTTCAGAGAAACTAAATTTCTTTTAAACATTGCAGTGAGCATGTTGTATTACTGAAATACTTGCTTGAACATGCTTTAAATACTTTACAAATAAGTAACTGGAAAAACTGGGGATTGTGAAACTGATTAATATGCTTTTGTTTTCCAATACCCTGTAGCTTTCCTTTACTGGCTTACCCCACACATTCCTGGAAGATCTGTCATTTAAAATCGTTTTTTCTTTTTTTTTTGAAGTCTCACTCTATCACCCAGGCTGGAGTGCAGTGGCATGCTCACAACCACCACAGCCTGGGCTCAGGCAAGCCTTCTGCCTTAGCCTTCCAAGTAGCTGGAGCTATAGACGTGCACAACCACACCCAGCTAATTTTCTGATGTATTGTAGAGACGAGGTCTCACCAAATTGCCCAAACTGGTTTCAAACCCCCTGGGCTCAGACAATCCCCTCACCTCAGCATCCCAAAGTGCTGGGATTACAAGCGTGAGCCACCGCACCCAGCTGTTTCCTTTCTTAATCACTGTGTTTTCTGTTGGTAAAAATAAAACATGCTGTTGTCTTAAAAAAAAGTTTAAACATTACAGAAATGCACAATTATACATCTCCTAAAATTCTATCTTCTACAACCACTGTTTAAATGTTGATACATATTGAGATACTTATACCTTAATATTTTTCCATAGAATTGAGTTTGACTAGCGGTCTTAGAAAAGCAGAAAAACAGAGGGGGGAAAGAGGGCATAATTAAAATAAGTTGAGCATCAGCCCTGTGCCCAGCACCAGCTAGTTGCCCCATACTGACTACTTTACTTTAGCTGCTCTGCAACTCTGAAATTTTGAGTTTTATTTTTTTAATTTAAAAGATGTCACACAATGTCAATTTCCTAGCTTAAATAATATAGTACAGTTGTATAAGATGCATCCATCTGGATGATGGATACACAGAGTTCTCTGCACTGTGCTATTTTTTTCAACTTCTTGTGAATCTGTAATTATTTCAAAATAAAAAGTTAAAAACTGAAGCACAGAGAAGGGCTACATAATTTGCTCTAAGGCCATACTGCTAGGGAATGAAAAATAAACATACATGTATGAGATGGGCTTAGACACCTAGTAAGTCATTAACTTAAATCGATCCCTTCAACATAGATTTATACAGAATTAGGTAAGCATCTGCTATATAAAGATGAATAAGATACAATCACTACTTTAAAGGAGCTCTTTGTCTAGTAGGTTATCATTTATTAAACTTTGTAGAGGCAAAGATAAGAAAAAATAAAGACATAATACTTAATCTCAAAGAAAAAAATGTTTTCAGTCATATTCCTAGAAATATATACATGCGAGCCCATACATGCACATGTTTAACCCAGGGGCTGATTTTGCATTTTGTGGAATGACCTTTTATCAGTTGTTTCTTTAAAAAAAAAAAAAGTCTCTCCCCCATGACCAGCACCTCTGCTTGCTTCTCAGGCAAGGGCTGGAAGCATTTCTTTCTTAGCAACTGATGCTATAGAAAGAATATAGAAAGAATAGCCTGCAATGACATGGCAGGCTGTTTGTTTTTAAAGGGGTTGACTCCTGCTTTCATGAGGTCAACTCAGTATTTCTTGCTTGTTACCTTAAGGGTTCCTTTACATGTGGTTACAGCAGGGATGGGGTAGAGACATGGGGTCCTCTCTTCTCACGCTAAACTCCCTGGCACCCCTGATCCTATGGTGGGTGCCACAGTCCCTCATCCACCACCTCTTTAAGACTCTCTCCTTCCTCCTCAGAGGAATTTGAGTCTACTTCAGAACTGTGTGGCCTCAGACTCCTAGCAGGATCACCCAATACTGCCCAAATGCAAGCACACAGCAGCCATTTCTTTTTCATTTTCACACACCAGTCTGCTAAGGCATGCAGCTGCTCTAACTGGTGAGCAATTAACTCTTTACATCTGTCTGGGTTAGTCTGGCCTCCCTTTCTAACCAGCGCCCTCCCACGTCTGATGGGTGTGGCTTCTGGCCTCTGCCTCCTTCTCAGAGGGTAGCTGGCAAACCCCACAGCAGTGGCCAAGTCCCTGCTGCTGCTATTGCCCTGCACTCCTGTTCTTTTTTCCTTAAAGCTCCCTTTTCCTCAACTTCTTGGAGAACTTCCAGCAGCCCAGTTGCATTTCTGGGGCATCCCCACACTCATGCGGGAGTCCCCAACCTTCCAGTAAGCTTGCAATGTCGAACCACATTGAACTGGTGAAGAAAAAAAAAATGTCTCTCCCAAAATACCAAATATCCTACTTGTCTGAAAAAAAAAAGATACTCATTTGCCTATTTTAATCCTATAAGAAATAGTTTTTTAAATATGAGATTAAATATAAAAGAAAAAAACAACTTGGTATACTTCTGGAGTTTACCATTACTTTGAGCATATCTTGACTAATCCTAAAATTTAAAGCATCTCAGTAAACAATATATAATTCATTAGGCCATTTACGTCTGGATTTTACCTCGTTGAAAAACAGAAAAGTACTATAGTTACAGAACATATAGCGAACATGGACTTATTCAGAGGTAGACTCTGAAAATACAAGTGAATCAAATGACATAGACCAAAATGGGCCAGATCCTACTATGCTTTTTTTGGTGTCTTTTTTTTTTTTTTTTTAGATTATGAGTTTCAAGTGCATGTTCGATCCATGGACATATTGCAGACTGATGGAAACCAGACTTGAGGGAGCCTATTCCCCAGATGGTGGACACTGTACCCAGTAGGTAACATCTGAACCATAATCTTCCTCCACACATCCCCTTTTAGTGTCCCCAGTGTCTATTATTTCCATTTTTGTGGCCATCTAGCTCCAACAAAAAGTGAGAGCATTAAGTGTTTCGTTTTCTGAGTTAGTTTACTTAGAATGTTCTCCTGAATAATAATAATCATGTTGCTGCAAAGAACATGATTTCATTCTTTCTTATGGCTATGTAGTCAGAAGAGGCTTTTGAAATTCAGTATTCTCTGAGCTTATAAAAAACAAAAATTCTTCATGACATAGAACAAAGAAACCCAAGGCAATGTAAATTAACTAGAAGAAAAATCAAAAATATGTATAAGCCAAACGTTTTAAGCAACAGATAAAAAACTTCTTTGAAGAAAACAATGACATGCACATAAAATTCCCAAGTTCTTTTAAGCAGTAAATCAACTGTCACTTGGGATTAGAACCAGCCTTAAAGGTAGGCGGCTACCTATGCTAGAAAATCTGCCCAAATCATTTCTACAAGTTTTGAGTGGTGAAAACAGCCCTGAGCTGTCGGGGAAGCATGGGAAGAGGTTGGGCTCCTTCATTGTTTTAGAGGGTAGCATCCACTAAGCACTTGTGTCTCAAATAAAACCCACTCCATTGATTGTAAACACAGCTGACAGTACCTCTCTAGGGTGGAAGACTATGTTATCTAGTTTGAAATCCCCATGAATCAAATTCTCCTCATTATCATTATCTGGCAAGTTTTTCATTAGCCACTCGGATAGCTGTTTCATGGCAGGGATGTCCTGATGAGCTGCGGCTTGATATTGCTGTGTCCAGGTTGATACCTAAAGACGTATAAATGAGAAAAATGATAGCGCTGATAATGGAATGTAAAATCCAGAAATTAAAACAAAATTCAACTGTACCAAGTTGTGTTTTACTCCTAAATGCACAAGACGAATGCCTATAATACTTATGTCAGCCTAAAATATAAAACATAGCCTAAAAACTTAAATATTTAAGTCTCTCTTCCATCTAGTTTCACTGTACTTACCTGGCTTTTTAACAGGAAAAAAAAATACTTTTTTATCAGAGAAAAAAATATATAAGAGATGTGGGTTCTAGTCTTTATTCAGAAACTATTTTGTGGGGGAAAAAGAATGTATACAAACACACACAAATAAATAGGACAGAGGTATAGACAATTTCTGGAAGGAGTCACAAGAAACAAGTAACCCATGAAAAGTGAATATGGGGGCTAGAAGAAGATTTTTACTTTTCATTTTTGTACCTTTTGTTATTGCCCATAGAATCTTCTAAATATATGCATGAGTAGTGCAAAAACTTCCTATTGTTCTTAGAATTAAAGGCAAATCAAACTATTCTCAAAGTCCTACAAGTGGGACCATATGACCTATCTGCTTCTATCTCTATTTCCCAACGTATCTTTGCTCATTTTAGTACAATAGAGCAAAATTGTTTTTCCTTTGGAGTCATACTTGCCTAGGTTTAAAGTACATCTAAGCGACTTAATTTTGTAAGTTTCTTCATCCAAAAAATGAGAGTAATATTAACAACCCTATATCTTAGAGTTGCTGCAAAGATTTAAAAAAGAAAAGGCCCACAATTTACCTGAAATAGGACCTGGCATATAATGAGTATTCTCTAAACCTTAATTCCCTTCTTTCTTCAGCCCCCCTACCCCCAAATGACATGCTTATAGAAGGAAATAGCCCCATAAATATTTCCTTTGATTTGAAATGCTTGCCATTTCTTCCCCATCACTCTAAATTTTATCTTTCCTTAAATATTCATTATAAGACATATCTCTCCCAGGAAGCTTTTCCCATGTAAGCAAGGGCATACCAATTTCCACCTTCTGGATCACACAGCTCTCATAATGAGTACCGAATCATTTACGACTAGATTATATACACTTTTATACCATTTTCAAGTTTCATGTATGTTTCATGTATGTAAGATTCATGTATAGGTCCCTCACAAATGACAAGTTCCTATAAGGAAAGAATCTATTTCCATTTTCTTGATATTTAGTACAGTACTCAACAGGTATCAAACACACAGTCAAGCTTAATAAATGTCTGCTATACACGAGCAGCCAACAGACACATGAAAAAATGTTCAGCCTTACTCATCATCAGAGAAAAGCAAATCAAAACCATACTGAGATACCACCTAACCCCAGTAAGAATGGCCATCATTAATAAAACAAACAAC